GTTCGATACTGAGTCAGAGAGCACATTGAATCCAAACGATTTTGCGCTTTAATTCCCGCCGAGTCTTAATTTGGGTTATCTTTTAAATGGAAACTAAAAAACTCAAGTTCACGTCTTCCCAGAGAGCGGCGGTGTCTCTTTCTTCTTCTTCTCCGCCGAGACGTCCAACTATTTGTTTATTTTTAGTAAAGCCGTTTATAAAACCAAGATTAGAGTTGAGAAATCAGAGCCGGCGGAGGTTTTGCAAAGGCATCGTACAGCAGTGTTTCTCAACCTTGGCAACTTGAAGATGTCCGGAGTTCAACTCCCAGAATTCCCCAGCCAGTGAATGCTGGCTGGGGAATTCTGGGAGTTGAACTCCGGACATCTTCAAGTTACCAAGGTTGAGAAACACTGGTCTAGACATTTGCTTTGTACTTCAAAGCAAGAACTTACTTGACCAATGAGTAGCTAGTTTCACACCACACAAATAATCGCGTATTTTAAGTACCCATTCGAATGTATTTACTTCTATGTTGCTCCTTATATATAACTTTCACTTCACTATAACAGCATTGTTATCTTACATGTGGCTATTTTAGTTTCTTCCAACAAATATGTCAACAAATACTAATTCCTTTGCAATTGAGTTCCTCTCTATCAAGTTCATCTAATGCAGTGTTCCTCAACCTTGGCAACTTGAAGATGTCCGGACTGCAACTCCCAGAATTCCCCAGCCAGTGAATGCTGGCTGGGGAATTCTGGGAGTTGAAGTCCGGACATCTTCCAAGTTGCCAAGGTTGAGGAACACTGCTTTAGTCTCTCAATATCTCTTTAGAACATTGGCGACCAAAAGTGCGCGCGTGGCCTTCCCAGCGCCATCCACCCATGTTTCCCCCTTGAGGAAAGGGAGTTTGGTAGCGCATCGAACGGCAAAGATATGTGATATAAGGCGCAATAAAATATAACGCCTCGCGTCGCTTCAGCTAAATAATCTGCGAAAAGCGATTGGCCGTTTCCTTCACGTGATAGAAGTATTGTCCAATAGAGAGCGAAAGTAACTCGATGGGTGGGGCGGCCTCTTGTTTTCGATGATTCGTTGCTTTAAAGAGATGGATAGGTCGCTCACCAAATTAAAAAAAAGTAAAGTAAAGAGGCCAAAGGGCGAAGGCAGGGTTATACCGAGGCAGGATTACGCTATACATTGTGCTCTTAAAGCTCCTATTGGCTATTTGAGCCGAGATGCAGTCGAACGACACATCATTTGCCCTATTAGAATGCTGGCTGGAAACATAATTGATAAGTGCCACCCTATCATTAGGGGAGCCTGCTAAATTCTCCTTCGCTATTGGCTTTCGAAGGGAAGTGACGGTTTCTATCAGCAATAGCAACAGCGATCGGCAGGTTTAGGGCGGGCCGAAGAGGCAAACGGGCGTTCCCGGAGCCGGATGAGAGGGCTCCAAAGGGGAAGTTTGTGGGTTGTTGCCCGGGGCTGTGAAAGGAAGCGGCGGAGTGTGGGGGGACTTACCCCCCCTCCTCCCCCCCCAGGTCGTTGCTATGGGCAACCGAGGAATGGAAGAGCTGATCCCGCTGGTGAACAAGCTCCAGGATGCCTTCAGCTCCATCGGACAAAGCTGCCACCTCGACCTGCCGCAGATCGCCGTGGTGGGCGGCCAGAGCGCGGGCAAGAGCTCCGTCCTCGAGAACTTCGTCGGCCGGTGAGTCGAGCCTGCCGTCCTGACGGAGAGGGGAGCGGGCGGAAGGCCCGGCGGGGGGTGGTGAGGGACCTTTCGACCGGCCGGTTTGAGGAAACGCCTCACGTACGGAGACTTCGGAAGCGGCCGCCGCTCCAGTGGTGTAACCGCCCTCTGTGAATAACCCCCTTCGCCGGAGCGTCTCCCATTCTCCGCGGACGCCGCTTGCGTTGGCTGGGCAAGGAGCGCCCGGAGGGAGCGGAAGCGGCGCTGGCCAACAGAGCGCTCTCTGTCACGGGCGGGCTCGGCCCTCCCGTCCTTCTCCCTCATAGCCTCGCTGACAGGGGGGGGGGGGGGGGCTGCCCGAAGCGTCCCCGCCGCCTGTCTTCTGAGGTGAACGGTGGTAGGAGAGCGCTCGAGGCGGCCTTCGTGCTCTTTCCACCCTCGTCTCGTTCGGAAAACGCCGCTTCGTCGTTTCCTGGAAATGTTGTTCATGTTATATGGCAGTGTTTCTCAACCTTGGCTACTTGGAAGATGTCCGGACTTCAACTCCCAGAATTCCCCAGCCAGCATTCGCTGAGAGTTGAAGTCCGGACATCTTCCAAGTAGCCAAGGTTGAGAAACACTGCC